AGATGAATCCTCCCGGAATCATCAAGGAGGCCCCTTCGAGTGTCCTGAGAGCTGAGTGCCCAGCTGCACAGCAGACACAAGGGTCAGCTCAGGTCCCTGCCAAGTCTCAGGCTTCTGGGTCTAAATTTACTCCAAGTTTCAAAGAATGATAATTCTCCATCCCATCCCCCACTTCCTGTTCCTCTCCCATCTAGATTCTAATGACTAAAACCAGATGAGTGACATTTGAGTAGGAAGTGGACTGAGGTCAAGGCAAGCAGATCTGGCACGTTTTAGGGTGAAAGGGAGCATCGTGCCACACACACTGGCCTGAAGTGGTTTGTGCTCAAGGGGACCTCAGGCATGACTAAGGCTCATTTCCTTGTTCGTAAAATGGGAATGATTGCTTTATCTAATGAAATGAGACAGGATGTCACACGCCTATCTGAGTATAGGTTAATAGTGGTAGCTCCTCCACACACTTACTACCTTCTGCTAGAGAATGGAATCTTCTGGAAGCACTGGGCTGGCTCCACATCCTTTTCCCAGGACCCCAGAGGACAATGGTCAGGAAGCAGGCAAAGAAGGTCATTTAGAAGGAGTCTCCTATATACTCCCAGAGAAAGAAGGGACTCTGCAACCCTTAGTCAAGGTCCCTGGACTTTGTCCCTGGAAAAATCCATTCAAGGAGCCCAGGTTTTACACTCTTCTACACAGAGTTTCTCCTCTGTGCCAGGAAATGAAAACTCTAGCACAAGAGACTGAGTAACCCCCATGACACAACCTCATCCACTTTCAGATATACTTCTTTTTTCCTTTTCATTTACGTACATTTGAAAAAATATATAGCCAAACATACACCAACAGTTTCTCCATGTACTAGTTAATGAAAGGGATGACCTTCTTTAGGTCGTGTAACCATTTTCACCCTTTTTCTCAGAGTTGTTCCTCCCTCATCATTAACATAAACTCACTGCCCCCTAAGGTTCTTCTCTTTTCAAGTTGATGTTGTCAATTTCATCCTATATAGATAATTCTTAAGAGTATAATTTCCAAGGCAAAGAAGTAGTAAAAATTAAGCTAAACTACTGTTTGGTCAGAGACTTCAGGGGATCTTTGGGGTTTAGGGTTTAAAGGTGATCTCAGGGCATTGGTTTCAGGGGCTCATCCACTCTTTATGCTTCTAGGAAGTCTGAAATCCAAGAGAATTCAAAATTCTGTTTTGTATTTCCCCTATTTTGATCAGTATGCTTCTATGGAATCTTTGATCCAAATGTTTAGTAATGGTAATAGGGCACCACCCAATTCTTCTGATTTTATGGCAAAAAAAGCAGTTGTTCATGGAGGTAATTAGTCACATATTTCACAAAAAAAACCACATCCCAGCCCAACCCACTTCTGTAGAGTTGGTTCCGATTCACAGTGACTCTCTAGGACAGAGTACAACTGCTTGATAGGGTTCCCAAGGCTGTAACTCTTAATGAAAGCAGATAGACTGCCTTGTGTTCCTCCATGGAACAGCTGGTGGTTTTGAACTGTCCACCTTTAGATTAGAGGTTTAACCTACTGCACCACCAGGGCTCCTTACACATTCCATATCCTCCTCCTATACTGGACTCTCTTCCCCTGTTGCTCCTGATGAGTAGACACCAATTGTCGTGCCTTGAGTGGCTGCTTACAAGCTTTTAAGACCCCGGAGTTGAACTAGGAGTTAGAAAGAAGAACTAAACATGTTTGTTACTAAGCCAGGCAGCTGTGATGTCCCATGTACCCATGAACCTGAACCTCCAAACCAAGAAACCAAATCCTGTGAGATGTTTGGTTGTACATAAGCAGCCTCAGTAGTTGTTGTTGTTAAGTGCTGTCAAGTCAGTTCTGACTCATAGCGACCCTGTATAGGGTTTCCAAGGAGCAGCTGGTGGGTTTGAACTGTCAGCCTTGCAGTTAACAGCCCTATGCTTATCCTATAGGGCCACACCTTTTTTTTTTTTTTTGAGGGGGGTGTTGTAAATATATCTATCACAAAACTTTTGCCAATTCAACTTTTTACAAGTATATAACGTATTGACAGTAATTATAAGAATTCGCAGCCCTGCCCTTAAGCAATATAATACTGCCATCATTAACTCATCTCCTCCTCCTTCCCACCACCCCTGATAACCACTAATAAACTTTGTTCTCTATGTATGCATTTGCTTGTTCTTGTCTTTTTATGTGTGGTCATACAATGCCTGTCCTTTGTGATGGACTGATTTCACTCAGCATAATATCTTGATGGGCATTTAGAGTTTTTCCACCTGTTGGCCATTGTGAATAGTGTTGCAATGAACACTGGTATACAAGACTCTGTTTTTGAGACTTCTGTGTTGATTGCTTGTAGATACATAAACTCTGGAGGAATGCTCTAGAAACTGGTGACATTGGCTGGCTGCCCATCTCTAAGAAGGGAGGCTTTTCACTCTGTGCCTTTTTTCACTCTTTGAGCCACATAAATGTATTATTCTTAATATTTTTAAATAAAATAATTTAAAAAGGTTCTGCAAGGCTCTTTTTGGATGGCCTTCTGACAGGAGTAGAATGTATGTGGAGGAGGATCAGGCCATCTGGGGCAGGGGAGACAAATAGATCACAGACTCAGTCAAAACTGCTGAAGAATTAAAGGCAGCAACTGATGGCAGGTGGGGAAGATGGGTCCTACAGGTCTGGTGGCAAAAGGAATCTAATTTGTCTTGGTTAATAGGGTAGACCTGCATTTCCCCAGGGATAGCTGACTCCTGATTCGACAAAGCAATCTATCAGCACAAAGCTTTGAAAGGTTGCCTGGGAGCCACCTGAACATCATTGCAGGAGTTCCTGAGGACTCAAAGGAAACCTGGCTGCCCCAGCTACAGGCCCAGCTGCCTGACTCTCCCCTGCTTTATCAGGAAAGCTCCATGTGTCTGGTTTTTCTTCTATGAGAAGGCGTCCAAGGATGGGAGGGGAAGCCTGGATGTTAACCACAAGCTGTGGGATCCTGCCAACTCACTCATCCTTCCTAAAACTAAGTTTTCTCATCTGTAAAAGGCAGGTCAACCAGTTCCTTGGACAATGCTGGGAGTTAAGTGAGGGCATGGGAGGGTAGAGGGTTGCCATGACAAGTCCCCTTTCCTTCAGGATCCTGGCTGCCATACACACTCCACCCAGATAAGAAGGGACCTTATGTCCCATACTCATGGGACAAGTTAGGAAAGCCCATTTAGATGAGCACTATTTATGCCAGTATTGTTGTTGTTAGGTGCCATTAAGTCAGTACCGACTCATAGCAACTCTATGCACAACAGAACGAAACACTGCCTGGTCCTGGGCCAACCTCACAATTGTTGCCACGCTTGAGCCCACTGATGCTGCCACTTGGCCAATCCATCTCGTTGGGGGTCTTCCTCTTTTTCTCTGATCCTCCACCTTACCAAACATGATATCCTTCTCCAGCACTGGTCACTCCTGACAACATGTCCGAAGTATGAGAGACGAAGTTTGGCCACCCTGGCCTCCAAGGAGCACTCTGGCTGCACTTCTCCAAACACAGATCTATTGGTTCTTTTGGCAGCCCATGGCACTTTCAATATTCTCCTCCAGCACCATAAATCAAAAGCATCAATTCTTCTACGGTCTTCCTTATTCACTGTCCAGGTTTCAGTATGCCAGTGTTGTTGTTGTTGTAGTTAAGTGCCGTCGAGTCAGTTCAGACCCATAGCAACCCTGCATAGGGTTTCTGAGGAGCACCTGGTGAGCTTGAACTGCCGACCTTGCAGTTCAAACGGCTTTGCAGTCTGGTGCATTAACCCACAGCACCACACCAGGTAGGTTCTCATTATTCTATGGGAGGGGCAGGTGGTATGGCCTCTACCCGCTGTCGTAAGCATGGATTGAAGTTTACCAGTGACACAGTGTGGCTGCAGGAAGTTGGTGTGATTTCCTAACATAAAGTAGAATTCAAAGGCGCTTTCCAGCTCTCTTCTTTGGTCAACTAAAAAAGTAATTTTCCTGCTTAAACTATCAGAGATCCAAACTCTGGCAAATCCAGAGTTCACCTTGACTACCTCTTCTGTATTCCACATCAGTGAGAATTTCTAGATCAACGCCCATGGAAGCAACAGTCAAGAAACGGTCCCACTGTCACATGAGGGGAGGTCAGGAAAACTAAGGGTTGTGGCTGCCCAGTGTACTTGGCAACATGACACCCCCTGAGGGTCTCCCTGAGAGCCCTGAGAACTGGCTTGGGGGCAGCAACATGAGTCCAACCCTCTGGTCTACTATTTGGGTGAAGATAGGCACCCCCTGAGGACACAAAAGTTAGGATTCTCCATCCCACTGGTCTATCCTAATATGACACTGATCCTCAATGAGGGCCTTGCTGAGGCCACGAGTTTTAGCTCCTTCCCTGGGGAGAAAAGGCACTGGGTCTATTTCTAGTTGTTTGTTGGCTCACTTGCTTTGCTAAAGCAGCTGAAAGCCCCAGCATCAAAAAGCATGATCCACTCACATGTGCACTTGTTAAAACCAGAGAAAAAAATGGGGCATCAATGCAATGAGATGTGAAAATGCTCAAGGAGCACCGCGCAGAAAGGGACTTAGGGTTGCAATTACAAATTGCCTTGAATTCCACTCACTTTTTGCTGACACTGGCAGATACTCAATGAAAAATATGTCAAGCTTTACATCTCACTTGTTAACAAAAGGTTACTTTGTAGGACTAAGGTCTTCTATAATCTTTTTCTCTCTGAAAATTTACCAATAAAACATGTACAACCAGGAATTTTTTTTTTTTCTTCCTTGGGAGGTAAAAAACAACAAATCTCACTTCAGAAAGCACTGAACTCCAGTGGCAATAAGGTTTCATAGTCATCCCAATCTTAACACAATAGAACTTGAAGTCAAAGAATGGATGGATGTTAGTCTTTTCACCCAAAGTCTAGCCTCTAAATGCAGGTTCAGACACTGATGGAACTGCTGAAGCCCTTTAGAATCAGAAGACTTCTTACCTTGAAAGTTGTTGCTGACTCTGGACTGGCAAGGATCAAAGGCGAGATGAGAACCATGCCGGAGAAGTAGCTCGGCCTGTCTACAGCTGTGAGGATGGCGATGGCGCCTCCCTACAAGGTAAATTGGCAGAGCTGCTGTAAGCCACACGCTGTACAGACACAGCTCTAAAGGCATGATTAAAGACAGAGCCCAAGGCTGCAGATCCTACCTTGGAAAGGAAACCATTAAATGTTGGATAAACTAGATCTGCAATTATTACATTACAAATGTTTTTTCCTTTGGGTTTTCCAAGAGCAAACATTTCAGAGAGATATAAATAAGGTTCTTGCTTGTGGGCTGCAAGTTAAACAACAACACATTCCGGCTTCATTTTAAGCCGAAAGCTGGCAGACCCCCAATTCATCTATTCTTTTAGGCCTCATGCAAGACTTTTTGGAAATCTGATCATAAGAAGAGATTACTATGTTTTTTTCCTGGTTCAGTAAAGATCCCAGAAATTTAGGTTCCAAGAAAAATATTTAGTGAACTAAATGGTGCTGAAGGAAAAGGCCCTGTGTCTCTTTGCTGAAGCTTAAAGGGCATGGAAACCAATGTCTTGAAGTCTTAGAGGGCCAGGCATGTAAAATACAAACCAAGGCAAAGGGAAAAAAAAAAAATTTCACTCCAAGAGACGGTGAGCCCATGTGTGTTGTTAATGACCATCTTTTTGGATGTCGGTTGCCAGGCTTTCCTTCCAAGGCACCTCAAGTGGACTCAAACTTCCAATCTTTCAGGTAGCAGATGGGAATGGCTACACCACCCAGGACTTCCATAAATGGAGCCAGGCTCTGATAAAAGGGGGCAGGAGGCCTGCATTCAAATTCAAGATGTTAAAAATACTGGTGAGCATCTATGTCTCTATATGGAGTTAGCCTGAGGCTGCCAGTTGAGAACCCCAATTTAAAAATTACACTTGGTTGATTCTTAGAGGATTTTATGCATGTAAGAGGTGAAAAGGATTTTGAGCAACATTTCAGGAACTGTTTCCACCAGGGCCCCTTTGTCCTCAGTTCTTGTCCAATCCTGAATAAGACGGGCACCCTTTGGCAGTTTGGACCTCTCACTAACCAGGGACAGCCCCCTCTCCAAGAAGTGGCTCTGCAGGAAGCAGAAGTGCCCTCAGTATCCTCAAGATGAAACAGCACCAAGTGCCAATGTAGCTAAAAGGATCAGTTTCCGGGTCAGTTGGTGAGCACGGGGTGAGGCGCTGAGGCTCTGGGGCCTAGCTGGCATCTGGCCGACAACCATGAGGAATGAATAGCTCTCTCCGGGCCTGTCTCCAGGGCCTGAACCTGGACAGTTTCCTAAGCACTAAATTGCCTGGGAACTCCACAGCAAGGGGGACAAAGGGCACTGGCCTCCTACTCCCCCATGGAAGGGCTGGGCAGGCCCGAGTGGAGCCAGGTCCTCTGTGGTCTGCTTACCATGGAGTGACCCAGAAGGAAGACGGGCAGCATGGGGTAGTCTTTCTTCATGATGTCCACATGCTGTAGCACATCCCTGATGAAAACTAGGAAGTCAGACACCACCATCCTCTCCCCTTCACTCTGTCCATGGCCCACTGGAAGGGAAGGAAAAAAAAAATCATCATTACTGGTATTGACTCTGCCCATACCTGGCAGCCCCTCACCAAAAGGACCAGCTTCTCTTTACTGAGGTCCTTTCACTTTACTGGGTCAGGAACTTGGGATGGGTCATCTAACTCAGTCCTCAACAAACACACTTCAAAGTCAGGCATTTCCCCATGGGGGTACAGAGTGGCTAAGAAAGCTGCCTGAAGTGCTGACCAGGAGGTGTCCACTGCAAAGGCCCTGAGTGCAGCCAGAAAGAAGGAGATGGCAGGCATCGAGAGAAAGAGGTTGGGGGTCAGAGAAGTGAGGTTCAGGATTTTTCTGAGTCTTCCCAGCAATTCAGAGTTGAGCTTCAATATTAGGCTTTCACCAGAAACAGTGCTGCATTTTGTCACTCCCCTTTATAGCTTTAGTTGAAGAGACTATGATAAATAAAACCGTCAAGTATGACTGCCAGAAATGTTCCCAACAGCCATAAAACTAGGTCACATTACGTCCCTCCTGGATTCTTTATGTGTCAAGTATCTGTGCTGTTGGCTCCCCCTTTGTTATTTCTTTGGTGTCCCTCTACTTCTCCCTTTGAAGTGCATCGGTCGCTATAGAAACCAGGAGCTGGCCCAGCTTCCCTGTGCTGGCTGAGAGCAGCTGATGGGAGGGTTTGAAGCTGCAAAAAGAAAGCGCTCACAGAGAGCTGGGGCCACACAGCAAGAGCATCTCTGCTCCAAACGCTCCTGTTAAGAGGCTATGCACCAAGCCTCACACCTCTTTGAGGATGCTAAGATAATAATGCTCACTTACAGAGAAGAAGGGTGTGGGCTGGACCTGACCGGTTGCCCAGACTATAACCCTGAAACACTCTTCGTGACCATACGCTCCTGTGCTTCCTACTGCCCTTGTCTCCTTCACTCCTGCCTAGACCACAAGCCCCCACATCTCCCGTCTTCCTGACTGACCAGCCTGCTTGTCTCTGATCACTCCGCCAAGCCACAGTCTACCAGTTCCACCACTCTCTCAGTAGCACACTCATTTCCTTTGCCCCTTTGATTTTTAACCTTGGATATCTTCCACTCTGGATTAACCCCTGTCATCCGTCCCTTTCTGCACCGATTGCCTGGCAGGGTCACCCTGACAGCTGAGGAACAGGAAACACTGGGGCCCCTTCACACATACTTGGTTGCCAAACAAATTCATCTCAGCATCTCTTTCCAATGTCTCCATTCTCCCCAAACGTGCACAGTATTCATGACTTTGAGCAGATACTGCTACTTTTCTTTTTTGGAAATATGGGGACTACCCAACACGATTCTTCTCAACCTTCTTCCCTGTCCTCCTTTAACAAGGCCTCGCCTATTAGCCACTCCAGGGGAGAAAGATGAGGCTGTCTGCTCTCATAAAGATTTATAAAGCCCTAAAATGCAGTTCTACTGCTCTGTACTTCTGATCTTACAGAGGTATAAATCTCTAAAATATATTTTATTTTTTAGCATTTCAAAATGGTGTTGGACTTTGCAGTTTTCTATGATTTGCTTTTTCACTTTACATTTTGTTTCTAAAATTCAAGCATGCCAGACTCAATGACAATGAGTTTTTTGAGTGTTTTTGTAATCACCCTTGGCCAGCTCTTGCCTTCCATTCTCTCCCTCTCTAAAGGTTCCATCTTTGGCTTACTGATACATCCCATTTTCCTCCTTTTTCCATCCTCCACCCTTTCAGCCATCTTCTTTCTCCTTTTCCCTTTACTCTTTAAAAAGTGACCTATACTCTTTAAAGCCCTTGACCACTTTCCCCAACCTCCTTTCTCTGGTGAAGTCCTGTCTCACTCCTCAGCTGAGTCACGACTGGCCTCTGTTGACCAAAGCCAATGGCCCTTTCTCCATCTTCATCTGCTTCCCAGCTCTCTGCTCATTCATACCACACACACACTGTGACAGGACTCATATGGAAATAGACTTCTTTGGTTCTCTTCCTTCCTTTCAGACTACTTTTTTCTTAGTCTCCTTTCTCTGTTATTCACTCATTCTAATTTTAAAAGTCAAAGTGGTACAAAAGGTATACACTGAGATCTTTTTCTCAGTTCTGTCCCTGTCCTCCCATTCACCCATCTTCCTCTAAATTCTTTCCTTGAACAATTTCCTGGAAATTGTTCCAGAGTCTCTTGATAAGCAGATGCATTTACATATCCTTATTTATAGCACCCTTTCATTGTTGTTAAGTGCCGTGGGATTGGTTCTGACTCATAGCGACCCTGTATAGGGTTTCTGAGAAGCAGCTGGTGAGCTTAAACTGCCAACCTTGCAGTTCAAATCAACCATGTAGTCCAGTGCGTTAACTAACTACTCATAGCACCACACCAGGGCTCCCCTTTTAGAGGTAAACTAATATCCTACCCTCCACTTTGCTTTGTTCACGCAACAATATACAATGGAGAGCTTTCAACACCTGAAGTACAGCTCCTCCTCAGCGTTTTTTCCCCTGCAACTTTTACTATGAAAAATTTCAAACACATAAAAATATTGAAAGAATATTATAATAAGCACCTGATAGCAGTGTTTTGTTCTGTTGTGCATAGGGTCATTATGAGTTGGTACCGACTCAATGGCACCTAACAACAGTGGTTATGTGCCGTGGTGTCAGTTCTGACTCATAGCCAACCTGTAGAGGGTTTCCGAGGCTGTACATCTTTAGGGAGCAGAAAGTCTCATCTTTCTCCTGCAGAGCAGCTGGTAGATTTGAACTGCTGAACTTGGGGTTAGCAGCTCAGTTTATAATCTACTATTCTACCAGGGCTCCTCTAATAAGCACCTACATACCCTCTGTTTTTATTAAAAAGTTGTTACCATTTAATTTGCTTTTGCTCTCATGATGCTTCACCCAAACACTTCAAAGTGCATCTCCTAAAATAAGACATTCTCCTAGTAGCTGCAATACGACTTTCATGTTTAAGAAAATTAGCAATAGTTCCAATAGTTCCCTAGTACTGTCTAATGTTGCTGTTGTGTGCTATTGAATCAGTTCTGACTCATAGCAACCCTATATAGGGTTTCCAAGAGTATCTGGTGAGCTTGAGCTGCCAACCTTGTGGTTACCAGTCCAGTGACTATCCTATACGCCACACCTAGGCTCATTTACTCAGCCCAAAATTTCAAATCTCCCAATTGTAAGTATTTTAAAGGTCTTTTTTTTGAGAACCAGGACATACACTTCACTTATTACATTTGGTTGTTATAGTTATTTCATCTCTTTTAATCTAGAACATTCCATACCCTCTTTACTTTTGCTTTAAAGAAAGCAGGCAAGAATGAGTCCTACTTTCTTTTTCTCTTTTAATATTTGTTGTTCTCTTTTAATACTTCCTTAGTTATTCAGAGCCTCTTGCCATTCGATATAAAATTGAGGATTGGTTCTTCCATTTTTGTAAAGAAGAGTACTGGAATTTTTATTTGGATTGCACTGAAGCTATAGATTGCTTTGGGTAGTAGGGGCATATTAACAATATTAAGTCTTCTAATACATGAACATTGGACATCTTTCCATATCTTTAAGTTTTCTTCAATTGCTTCAAAAAAAATCTTTTTATTGTGAACCAGGTGAAGGTTTACAGAGCAGATACTAAATTTAAATTCAACAGGGCATACACATTTTGTTTCATCTAATTAGAGTCTTAGTGTGATGCTGTGGGATAAGCACTGGGCTGCTAATCACAAGGTTGGTGGTTCAAACCCACCAGCTGTTCCTTGCAAACCCTATACAGGGTCGCTATGAGTCGGAATTGATTTAACAACAAGTTTTATAACTTTGACCCCTGTATGCATCTCCACATTCTTGGATATATTTTCAACAAAAGTAAATACCCAAGTACAAATATTCTCTGTAAAGCACATGCACACACATGTGTATTTGTGGGTATACTTCCACTCTCCTTCCCACACATGTACAGCCTGCCTGGCTATTCAATTGCATATTGCCTTCCTCTTCATTCAAGAAACATGTATGGGTGTGGCTGGGCCTGTGGACACAGTTGTCTCCAATTGGGTGGGGCAGGGGAAAAAACCACAAGAAAAGGCCAAAACAATGACAAAAAAGGAAAATAATAACAATAAAAAAACAAGTGAGAAGAAAGCAGGCTAACAACAGCAAGGAAAAATCATTCAATAACTAAAAAGAAACACAAGGGAAGATTTAAGAAAAAGTAGAAATACAATAAGCAAAACAGGGAGGGAGTAAAAGAAAAGACAATCATAAAGAAAGAAAACTAAGAGAAAATATAAAAGAAAGAAGAAGGGAAGGGAAAAAGAGAAGAAACAAGGAAAAAGAAAGGCAGGGGAAGCAAGTATAAAAAAACAAGAGAAGGGGAAAAACAAAGAAAGGTGAAGAGTGGGGCAGGGGCAGGACCTAGAGAGAGCAAACTCTGGGAAGAAGGCACTCGGTATGTATCCGCACAAGGAGATGATAGGGCTGGGGGGCAGTGGAGGAGGGAGTGGGGTGCTCATTCCTAGATGGAGTTCTTACTGGCCTAGATGTTGTCTGGGGTCAGGGCATCTGATCCGGAAATAGTTGGTTCTAACTCAGAAGATAGCAGAGGTTATTGTGCTTGCTCCTAGAAGAACTCTTTTGGGCTCAGGGGACAGGGTGACTGGGTATGGAAGGAGTTCTTGGCCTTTCAGGTGTGGCCAGGACCTGGCTCTGCATGTTCTTCTGGTCTGATGGCTTCTGCATGGCTCCAACCTTAGCGAGAGCCAGGGCCATGTAGGGTGGTGGATGTCACAAGCTGATGGGTGGACTAGGGTGGGGGCTGGTCATGTTTCTGGGGAGATCATTTTGTCTCTAAAAACAAGTGTCTCAAAGTGGAAAGAAAATAAACCTTTGAATTAGCTCAAAACAATAATATATGGTTCTCAATTTAATAAACAACTTACAAATTGGAGGAATGGAGTCTCCAAGTATGAAGGAAAAAATTAATAAAGAAATGCTTCTGAGGTCTGAAGGTTTC